CAAAAACAAAACAAGACGAAACAGAAGAATTTGCAGGAGAAAGGGAGTAAATGAAATGTAAGGTGGAAAACAAACAAACAAATGAAAAAAAAAAACAGAAAAAAAAACAAGCAAGAATGTGGTCTCAGCTAGAGACTAGCTTCAGCCTGATTCAATGGAAGTTTGGAGCACAAATTGCATCATAGAGTTGGTCCTACCTTGAGCAAGAGAATCATCCTGGCCCATTAGTCAGTTTTCAGCCTCTGGCTGCTGTGGGTGGAGGGTAGGGAAATGGAGCATAACCTCCTATTTAAGGTTGCATCTGATTCAGCTGAGGTCTGTTCTCCTGGGAAGGACCAGCTCTGAGTTTTCAGCAACCAGCCCTTGTGACTACTGTGGGATAAGTGCACCAGCCCAGTGAAGGAGATGGGAGCTACTCCATCATTCAAACCAGGATAATCTTGAGAGTAAAATGGACAGCTACTGATAAGTATGCAAAAACCAATCAAGTGTAAAACAAACCAAGACTGTCCCAGGCAGATGGGAATGTAGGTTCATCCTACCTCCATCCCATTACTCCCTTGCTATAGGGAACACGGCAGTATGCAAAGGCCAGGTTTCTCTGAAGGACATGTAGCCTTCTCCAGTGAGGTCTAGGGATGAAGGACTCCACATCTGCTCTATAAATCATCCCCTGGATTTGGGCTTGGTGTAAGGGTGGAGATAAGAGGAAAATATTGAGCGACTGAGTTCTTTTACTCCTCTTTAATATAATCCCTTAGGACTAGAAAGAGAATTGTTTATCCTAAACAATTAAAAAATTTTAATCAGACAAATAAGGATTATTCTTCACTTAAGCATAAAATAAATTCAAGCCTATGGTGCAAAATACAATCTGCCAATTGAATGTTTTATAATTGTATGTCCAAAGTCAAAAGGAAAAAGTACAACAAATTTTTTTTAAATGGTATTAGAGTACTAAGGTTACAACAAATGTTAAAGATGACGAAAATTGAGAAGGAGTATCTTTGAAAAACACTACATTCAAGAAACCAAAGGACTTGAAAGAATTGTGAAATATTAAAACATATTTTAGAAGTTGCAGATGTGAAGTCATTTTTTAGTGCTTCCAATATATAATTTTAAGACATCTGTTTCTGGGAATTTTTTATGAGAAAACAAAACATAGTAAGAAAAAAGCTGATTTTCCAAATCTGTGAAAAACAGATATTTACAAAGAAAAAGAAAAAAATGTATATTGAATACTGTTTCCTGGAAGTTTACTTGGAAACCAGGGAGAAGTATTTTCTGGGTAAAAACAGTGATTCCAATTTAGTGTGTGAGAGTTTAAGGGAAAAGGGTACACATTTTTCAACTTGTCACCACATTCTTGAGGCTTCATTATCAGTTCTCAGAGTTCTTTCATCCTGAGTGAAAAATGACTGGACAAATCCATGAAACTGGTGCTGTTTTGATTTTGAGTGAATTACCTGATCAAATCATGAGAATAAATAGTATATTATTTTCTGTTTTATTGTTTTTTTTAGATTTTTTTTTTTAGTCAAGTTAGTATATTTGTGTCATGTTGGAGTGTAGAAATAATATTCAACAGCTTTGTTAAGTTTTAAATTTGACAAACAATAAACTGTCCGTGTACAATTTTTGACTTATGAATATACCCATAAAAACATCACTGCAATCTAACTAATGAACATATTCAATCATCTCCCAAATTTCCTCATGCCTCTTTGTTAATTATTCTCCCTGTCTTTCTCTGGACACACTCAGTGTCCCCAAAAACCTCTCATCTTCTTTCTGTTACTACAGATTAGTTTGAATTTTATAGAATTTTATGTAAATGAGATCAGACAGTATTTTTCATCTGGCTTCTTTTACTCCATATAATTATTTAATATTCATCCAGCTGGTACATATATCAATAATTTGTTTCTTTTTATTTGTAGGTAATATTCTGCTGAATGGATATGTTATAATTTGTTTTTCCACTCAACTGTCAACGGTATTTGAGTTATTTCCCCTTTTTTTGGCTATTACAAGAAAAGCTGCGGTGAATATTTATCTGCAAGTCTTTGGATGCACATACGCTTTCATTTCTCTTAGATAAAGAATGGCTGGGTCTTATATTTAAGTCTTTAAGCCATTTTGTGTTTATTTTTGTGTATGGAGTGAGGGAGTGTTCTAACTTCCTTGATTTACATGCTGCTATTCAGTTTTCCCAACACCACTTGCTGAAGAGACTGTCTTTTCTCCATTGTATATTCTTGTCTCCTTTGTCAAAGATTAATTTGACCATAGGTTTGTGGGTTTATTTCTGGGCTTTCTATTCATTCCATTGATCCATGTATCTGTTTTTATGCCAATACCACGCTGTTTTGACTACTGTAGTTATGTAAATATAATAAAAAGTAGTATGACCAAATTTGTGTTTATACATTTCCATGCCCTCCAAGTATGCTTCCTCAGTGTTCTCTATGACAGTTAATTTTCTATTCATTCAGTGTCCTGAGACAAAAATCCAGCTATTATCTTCGACTTCTTCCTCTTTCTTGCCTATTTATCTTATTGATGCTACTCCCTAAATAAATATATTTTTATTGAAATATATAGTCAGTTTATAATGTGTCAATTTCTGGTATACAGCATAATAGTTTAGCCATACATATACATACATATATTCACTTTCATATTCTTTTTCATTATAGGTTACTATAAGATACTGAATATAGTTCCCTGTGTTTAAGTATTACCTCTACTCTCCTCTTCTCTCCATTTCCACTGGCCCAACCCTAGCTTCCATCATTTTTTGCCTGGACTCTTTTGATAGTCTGATCACCTGAATTCTGGCAATGGGACCTCTATGTACTTTACACATTGTGGCCTGATGATTATTTCTAAAAATTAAAAACTTCTATCAGTCTACTGCTTCAAATATTTCAGTGACTTCTCCTAGCCCTTAGGATACAGTCTCTTTCAAATGATAAAATCTTTATAAATGGTAAAAAAAATAAATAAATAAAAATACAAACAAATAAATAAATTTACCTTAGACCTAGCTTCCCCGCACATATTTTTTCTTAACACCCTCTTCACACAATTTATTCTCAGGCCTCTCAAATTCCTTCTTCAAACCTGCCATAATTCTCTTTTATTTCACAGCTGTCCCACAGGTGATTCTAACCACTTGGAACAGTTTCTTAGTTCTTCTGGATCCCTTTGCCTCGTGAACTTACATATAACTTCTACTGAATTATCCTGGTGGTCATTTCCAGTAATAAGCCTTCATAGATCTCCCTAGGCTGGGTTAGATTTTGTGCTGTGTGCACTCACACCACCTCAAACAGGACATCTAAAAATTATAGCTATATGGAGCCATCTGAGCCAGAAAGCACTGTGGGGACAAGGACCATATATGCCTTTTCTACCACAACATCTTTATACTTAGAACATAATATGCATTTAATTAGTATTAGTTTGCTTGAATGACTGGATATATCAATAAATGAATATTGAAAGGAGAATCCCTGTGCTCAAAAGGGAGGCTCTCAGAGAATTGGGAAAACAAAGAGGAGGTAAAGTGCGGCAGCAAATGCGAGCAGAAACAAAGATGAAAAGCGTTTGGTGGATGAGAAAGGGTTGGTCTAATCAACTCTCACAAGTAAATATAAAAGCCTTCGCTACCCCTATTTCAAGGCAGTCTAATATAACTCTCTTCACATCTGGGGATGTACACTAAGCTTTGGGAGTAACAACTTAAATGCAAGCAGGAAGCAAAACATAGACAGAGAAAACCTAAATAGTTGCCTCTAACGACAGTGGTACACACCACAGAAAGACAGGGACGGCTGGAGGTCAGAGGAAGAGGGCAGCCGACTGACTGGAGTACAACAATCCTAAATGAACCAAAGCATGGCATGTGCACCTTAGCCAAAAGAAGTTCACCAACCCCAAGTAAATATACTTTCTTCAACGTGTGTAAGAAAAAGAAGAAGAAAATACACGATATCATTGTCAGTGCCAGAGAACAAACTTAGCATTATTTTATTCAAATTTGACCCAGGATGTTAAACTATTCAATGTATTATTACCCTTTCCTGCATATTTGGCTTATTTGACTCAATTATTTTTATTATTATTGAACTTAAAGTTTGACCAATATTTTCAGATTCCAGTGGACCATTCTTCAGACAAACCTGTGGCACTCAGTTTTATTAAAAGTGACTTTGTTTATGAAATTATACATTTGATATCTGAGTTTTATTGTTCATTAGGGATAATTTAAAACTGTATTACATGTAGGATAATTTGTAACAATATGAAGAATTCTACAGATTTGGAAAACAGGAGATGGAGGATTGATGCCTTTTCCTGGGAATTAATCAGCAATGAGTAAATGATTTCAAAGATTATGCAACAAAAGGGCAGACTAAAAGTGCTTCACAGGAAAAATGCTTATCTACCAATCTTTGTTTAGTTGAATTGGTAAATACCACTGAATTTCCTTCACGGAAAGATAAGTCCTGGAAATGTTTTCCTACAACTATTAGCAAAGCCAATCCAAAACCACTCTTGTCTTTTTAATACAGACACATATTCCTGCCTAGACTTGATTTCAGTCTGATAGAAACTTTATTTTAACATTCGTCTATTCAATACATAGCTATTCTATGAATATTATTATTTTTTCAAGTCTACTTTGCTCATGCACATAATTTTCCTTTGCTAGGGTAACCTAAATGCAATATATAGAGAAAATTTTCTTAGAATCCACATATAGATCTGTGCTATAATGTATGTCAATTTCATGTTGAATTTGTCTATGAAAAAAATCCCAGTGATTCAGCTGAAATAATGAGTCAAATCAGTTTTTTGATGTTTTCTATACAAAGAATAACCATCTGATTGAGTATTTCATTTTTTATTGGTATTGTGAAATACTGAGGGTGAGGGAAGGAAGGGGAAGATGAGGTCTCTGCACAGGAGATTAAAGATTCAGCCTGGACTACAATGAGGTATCACCTCACCCAGTCAGAGTGGTCATCATTAAAAACATCCATGAATGATAAATGCTGGAGAGGGTGTGGAGAAAAGGGAACTCTCCTACACTCTAGTTGGGAATGCAATTTGGTGCAGCTATTATGGAAAACAGTGTGGAGATTCCTCAAAAAACTAAAAACAGACTTACCATATGATCCAGGAATCCCACTTTGGGGCATTTATCTGGAGGGAACTCTAATTTGAAAAGATACATGCACCCCAGTGTTCATAGCAGCACTATATACAATAGCCAAAACATGGAAACAATCTAAATGTCCATTGGCAGATGACTGGATAAAGAAGACGTGGTATATTTATGCAATGGAATACTACTCAGCCATAAAAAAGAATAAAATAATGCCATTGCAGCAACATGGATGGACTTAGAGATCATCATTCTAAGTGAAGTAAGCTGGAAAGAGAAAGAAAAATACCATATGATATCATTCATATGTGGAATATAAACACAGAAAAGAAGAAGACACTAATGAACTCATCTATAAAACAGGAACAGACTCGCAGACATAGTAAACAATCTTATGGTTACTGGGGGAAAGGGGTGGGAAGGGCTAAATTCGGGAATGTGAGATTTGCAAATGTTAGTGACTATATATAAAAATAGATAAAAACAAATTTCTTCTGTATAGCACAGGGAACTATATTCAATATCTTGTAATAACCTTTAATGGAAAAGAATATAACCTTTAATGGAAAAGAAAACAAATATATGTATGTATATGCATGACTGGGATATTGTGCTGTACACCAGAAATTGACATTTTAACTAACTATACTTAATTAAAAAAAATGAAGAGGCAGTCTATTGAACGGAAGAAAATATTTGCAAAACACCTATCTGATAGGGGTTTAATATCCAAAATATAAAAATAAACCATATAATTCAAAAAATAAACACTGTAATTAAAAAAAAAGATTCAGCCTGGAGTCCATTACCAATAAAATCAGTGAAATCATATTAACAAGGTAATAATAAAATATCCATTTTAGCAAGTTTACAAATTGTTGGTTATATCTGAGATAGTCTGTTATTTCACTAATAGTATTAATGCTTTTGTTCAGTCATTCTCCAACCTTCTCTTAACTGTTGTTTTATAACCTATGCTTCCCCAGACCATGATGGCTGAGGTTTTATTTTTTTTTAATTGAAGCATAGTCAGTTTACAATGTTGTTTTAATTTCTGGCATACAGCATAGTGGTTCATTTGTACAGATAAGTATATTCCTTTTCATACTCTTTTTGATTATAGGCTATTATAAAATATTGAATATAGTTCCCTGTGGGATACAGTAGGACCTTGTTTGGGGTTTTAAATAAGCACCTGTTAATAGTAATAGCTCAGCCACTGATTGTCAATCCTACCTGCTACTGTGAGACCATACTTTTCCTGCAAATGCCACCCTACATGGTGATTTCTGGACATTCCATGTTCGCTCATGTACAAAGTTTATTAGGTACCACGTGGCTCTACCATCATCTTACTATTTAGCTCTGGCCCCCTCTCTGATGGGTGATGCATGAAGCCAGGACCTTTATTTTTATTGCTTACAAATAGACTTTCTTCTTCTGCCTACCATTCTACCATTACCACTCTCATATTCTGAAACTCTTTCAGCCACAGACCAATGCTGAGTTTGGGATCCTTAAAGTCTAAACACTGCTGGTTCTCTTCTTCATTTGTATACTATTCTATAAATGACCAGGTTTGAAGAAACAAAAGAAAGATTCTAATTCTAAAATGATAATGTAATTTTAATGTGAAATGTACTAGATAGGTTAAATGGTAGATAAGTCATAGCTAGAGAAAAGAATAAGTTAGGAGAGAAAAGAAAAGAGAAATTACACATAGTGCAGCATAAAAAGATAAAAACATAGAAAGTATTAAATTGAAGGTAATAGATGACCTAACAGAAAAAATAGGAAAAATGCAACATTCAAAGAGATTAATGACTGAGGATGTTCCAAAATGTCTACAAGACAAAAAAAAAATCACACTTGTAAAGTATAATAAATCCCAAGCAGGATATATACAATAAAACCTATTTCTTAGCACACTCTGAATCTAGACTATTAAAGGCATGCAAATTCTAAAAACAGCAAAAGGAAAAGAAAAATTAAAGACAGACTTATTTGTCATCTTGTCATAAAATTAAAGCTGAAAAAGAGTACAATAATATCTCTAAAAGATAACAGAAAATAACTGATTGAATAGAACCATATACCCTTTGAAATTTTTTTTAAAGAATAAGGATAAAATAAACACTTTTCAACCAAACAAAAAGTAGCCATGAAGGAGAAGGAAATGAAAGCCAGAAGGAAGGATTAATATACAATAAAAGATGAGCAATACGATTGGTAAGTTAATCGGAAATATAAAGAAACAACATTTTTGTCTAAAATAAAAGCAATAAATAGTAATCACTAATCATGGACATTAAAATACAAGATAAAACTAATATAGTGTACTCCTTTCTTAACATTTATGAAGGGAGTATCCCAGTCAGCTTATAATTAGTAGGAGGGGAGAAATGAATTACATTTAGACTTTGTAAATTATGCTAAATGTCTAGCTAATCAGCAAAACTAACAGTTTATAGCTTCAACCCAAAGAAAGGGAAAACAGAACTTTTTAAACTTAATCATTCCAAAATAAGGCAGGAAAAGATAAAAAAAAGAATACATGAGAAAAGCTAGGAAACAAAAGTTACCAAATAAGATGTAAAAATAAAACAGAATAAAAAAATCACAATAAATACAAGTGGACTGCATCTGTCAACTAACATCAGAAATTATCACATTGTAATAACACATAGATTATGCCAATTTAGTAGAATTACTATGATGTAGGTATACACATCTGGCTGATAAGAAAGACAACTAATGTTAAGGAGAGATAAAACAAGGGTTTTTAGCGAAGATGATGTATGAGTTGAGTATCTGAATATGCATGGGAGTTTGCCAAGGACACAAAAAGGACAAGAATGTTCCAGAAATAAAAGAAGCATTTGTGAAGAATAATTGTGGTGTATTTTTACCTTTTTCCATCATTCAATGGAAAAATGAAAGGGTAGGGGGAAAAGAAAAAAATTTAAAAATTAGAATCCTTTTTCCATTTATCAAAGATTTACCTATTCTAGAAATCCTTCCCTAATGACCTTTTAAAATAAAAGACATTTTCATGACCTGGGTTACTTCTACAGAGCTTTAGATCAGCGATTTAACCATTGGCAGTAGCTCTCATATAACATTTGCATAGGGCTGAGAGAAATACAAGTATTAAATTAAATTTTTCATACATTCATTACTCTTCTGGATTTTTGATATTAAGAAGATCTTTACACTATGATTAAAGGTGGTAATATGCAATAGATTTTTATTTGCTTCTTATTTGTTAGTTTTTAATGTCCTTTTTGGCAAAATGAGGAGTTGGCAATAAAATCAAATCTCTTTTTCTTTTGTATTAAATTGCATTTTATTGTTCACAAAATCCAAAAGACTGGAAATCACTAGATTAAATGACTCTCAAAACTTCTTTTGCAAGAAACTATGAAGCTTGAAATATGTTTCCCAAAGACCACCCAAGAAATTTGAAGACTTGACTTTAAGTAGAACCAATCTGAAAACTATAGAATTTTTCTCCCCAACTTGATAAACGCATTTATTTAATAATGAATAACTGTATCTTTTTTTCAGAATAGTAAGCCTTAAAAACCAGGCATACAAACCTCGTATCTGTTGTTTTCCTCCAGAGGATGAAACACCTCGTTTAATAATTCAGTTCCTATACACGTGTGTATGTTTTTAAACATCATTCAATATTTGCATATAAGCTAATCAATAAAAGACCATAATGATCAGCTGGTTTTCTGGAATGATTATTTTACTTTATGCACCAACTGTTACTTAGCAAATTCATTATGCTTTTCTAAGAATTAAATGAGGTATTAGGCAATGGTAACACATACCCTATTTGGTATGGAGATCATATTTAGTTTCCAAGGGCAGAGTTAAATGGAATCTAACTATGTCCATGCCCATTATATCTAAGTTAGCTTACAGATTTAAGCACTAAAATATTTTATGGAGTCATAATCATATATTTTATCCTAGTTCTTTCATATTTATTCTCTGCATAGAGCACACTGAGTTCTCTGTATTTCCCACATTCTTCAAGAAAAACATTTTCTTATACAGTAGACCTCTCATATATTGTAGCTATAGCACATGAATAATAATACCTACTAGACTTGCCATGATGACATGAGATTATATATAATCTATGTCATGTCACTCATTGTTGTAAGAATCATGAGGTGTTTGGTCATGAGGAAAGGAATGTAAGCCTGGGCATGTGTACTCAACTTTCAGAGACATTTTTCAGTGGGATCCCTAAACTCATTAACACCTATTATTTTCATTTTATTAGTAAATTTAAAGAAAAGAGAGGACATAGATGAGCCAAAGGTAAAATTTTGCCTACAATTTCATTTCCTTTTTAAAAGGAAGCAAATTTTCATAGACTATTAATTCTCAAAATGTGGTCCACAAATCCTTTCAACTACGTATCTGTGTAAAGGCACATTTTTGCCCCTGTACTTCAACAAAACAGCCTGTTGCAACAGTTTGAATGCAGATGCAGGTATGAAAATCCAGCTAACTTTTATCGAGTCAAACATTAAGGATGTGCACGCCCAAAACATAAAGCATAAAGAGATTTGGAGCCAAAAAAAGCTTGAAGACTGCGGCTCCAGGGAATTCACTGAAAAATGGCGCTTTCATGACAAAATAAAATTTGTTCTAGAAGAGCATTTAACCTCAATTTAAAATGGAACTCTGTTTAAAGGCTATATAAAAAACACAGCAAGACTATTTGCCAGGTTGTTTGGGGAATCCTGAAAGGTGAAGGGAATCACTGGGCCATAATTCATAATGTGAAATGGTTATGTATGTATGTGTGAAATATATTTACATATCTCAAAGTCAGTTACGCTTAAAAAAATGAGAAGCACTGCCATGTAAGCCTAACTAAGTCAACAGCATCTAAATCTAAACCTAGATTATAAAATTAAAAAGAATCAAGGAATAAAAGAGTGTATCATGCACCCTTATAGCATTCCC